AGGAATCCACCTTTCAACTTAAAAATTTAGTCTAAAACCAAATAGCATTCATTCCTAAAACATTCTATTATGTCCAGTAAAATCACAATGTCTACTCCAAAGTTAATTTGGAATAAATGTGATTTAAAATTCACATTTACAGGGCACCTGGGTGGCTCAGTTGGTTAAGCGTCTACCTTCGGCTCAGATCATGATCCCAGGGTCCTGGGATCAAGTCCCGCATAGGGCGCCCTGCTCAGCGGAGTCTACTTCTCCCCTCCCTCTGCCGCTCCCCCTACTTGTGCTCTCTCAAATGAATAAAAAATCTTTAAAAAAATAAAATAAAATTCACATTTACAGATGTATCAACACTTGAAAGCAGTGCAGTCAATTCAATGACAAGCTCAAAATAGTTATTTTATTGAACTGACTAGTCAATTTAATAAAATCATCAAAATTTGTCACTGCCAGACATAGTCCAACTACATACTTGTGAACAGGAGTGATACAGGTATTATCAAGAGAACAGACTATGATAAGAGTATGCCAATGTCTTAAGAAACAAATTCTTGCCAAAGAGCAAAACTTGATTAAAGATGTTACTATAATCTTCCTCTTCACTCAAAATAGATGAAATTAATTTATACCATTATTTAAATAAAATACCTACTTAAATGTTGCCTGTATCCTACCCTACATTACTTTTCTGTAATACTTGAAAACTGAGATTTTTTTTAAGAAAACATGTTTCTACATGTTTTCTACATGTTGTACAACGCTACTAAATGCCAGAACCTTCCTCTAGAAGATCTCCAAGTGGTATATGGGTGACAGTATCTGAAGTGACTTAATCATTTATTTGACAGAGAGAGAGAGTGAGCACAGGCACGGGGGAGGGGCAGAGGGAGAGGGAGGAGCAGGCTCTCCACGGAGCAGGGAGCCCATCATGGGACTCGATCCCAGGACCGTGGGATCAATGACCTGAGCTGAAGGCAGATGCTTAACTAACTGAGCCACCCAAGCGCCCCTGAATCTGTGATTTTAAAATTGTGATTCATGACCTTCCTCTAGAAGATCTGTAGGTGATTTATCTGAATATATCTGAAGTGACTTAATCATTAATTATGGATTTTAAGTATAAAAATGCTGCTTTCCTCTGATTTTTTTAAGTTAAAAGAAAAAGCTTAATTCTTGACTCTTCCTTTCCCCCAATTTAGTTGATAGTGGAGTTATTTTATTTTTGTCATCTTTGCTTAAGTTCTAACAACTGAGAAAAAAAAATGAGAATCATGAGGGCAGACACCCACGTCTTTTATTTATTTATTTATTTATTTTAAAGATTTCATTTATTTATTTGACAGAGAGAGACACAGCGAGAGAGGGAACACAAGCAAGGGGGGTGGGAGAGGGAGAAGCAGGCTTCCCGCAGAGCAGGGAGCCCGATGCGGGGCTCGATCCCAGGAGCTGGGATCATGACCTGAGCCGAAGGCAGACGCCCAATGACTGAGCCACCCAGGCGCCCCCACCCACGTCTTTTAAATTCATCATTATATTTACAGTGCCTACCATAGGAGGGTCACATTATTTACTTACTGGCTGCCTTAGAACCTTGAGTTTATTATAGGGATTGGATCTTCCATGGATATTAAGATCCCACTATTGGGGCACCTGGGTGGCTCAGTCCGTTAAGCGGCTGCCTTCGGCTCAGGTCATGATCCTGGGGTCTTGGGATCAAGCCCCACATCTGGCTCCCTGCTCAGCGGAGAGCCTGTTTCTCCCTCTCCATCTGCCTGCCACTCTGCTTACTTGTGCTCTCTCTCTCTCTCTGTCAAATAAATAAATAAAATCTTCAAAAAAAAAAAAAAGATCCCAGTATTTATCAGAATATTCAAAGTTAGAGGTAGTTTCAAAATAAAATTCTGATTATCGTTAATTGGTTTTTATTCAGATGAGAAGTCTTTTCCATATGGTGTCATTTTATAAGAGATATTTATCAGAAGCAGTGCAGAGCTTGAACTCTAGAGGTGGGGTCTGGGTTTGATTATAGGTTCCGGCATTTAATAGCCTTGTGATCTTAGATACATAATTTAACATTTCTAATCCTGGGTTTCCTTTTCTGTAAAATGGAGATAATAATGGTACCATCTTCGTAGGGCTGTTGTGAGGACTAAATGTGATAAAACATTTATTTGGCATCTAGTAATGTCTCATACACTGATGCTGTCATTTATAGACCCTGTGCCAGTTAAAGTCTTGTAGATATATATTTTTTTAAGATTTTATTTATTTATTTGACAGAGAGAGACACAGCGAGAGAAGGAACACAAGCAGGGGGAGTGGGAGAGGGAGAAGCAGGCCTCCCACGGAGCAGGGAGCCCGATGCGGGGCTCGATCCCAGGACCCTGGAACCATGACCTAAGCCAAAGGCAGCCGCTTAACTGAGCCACCCAGGTGCCCTGTAGATATTTTTCAAGTACACTTGATAAACTTTAGGAAAATGAGATATATGTTAGCCTTTGAGGACACAGTGCTGTTGTTAAACTAGAAATACTCAGATGCTGTGATTACATGCATTTTGTAGTAACTCAAGAAAAGCACTTTGCACATAGGTGCTCAATTGCATGAAATGTGCTATAATTGAAGAACTAAAGATTTTGTGTAGAAACATGTTTTCTTAAAAAAAAAAAAAAAATCTCAGTTATGCGTCTGCCTTAAGCTCAGGTGATGATCTCGGGGTCCTGGGATCAAGCCCTGCATCAGGCTCCCTGCTCAGCAGGGAGTCTGCTTCTCCCTCTGCCTCTCCCTCTGTCCTTCCCTCCCACTCATGTCTCTCTCTCTGTCAAATAAAATCTTTAAAAAAAAAAAAATCACACATTCACAAGAATGAATCTGTCAGTGGAGGGATTCCTTCAGCAAAGAAGCAACTCTTCCTACAGACAATATTTCCTACTTTAACCAATGCAATAATACTGATTTCTATTATGTGCCAATCAGGCACTTCTTGGATTCTTTACACACACACCATCTCAATACTACATCTTTTCCCCTACTTAAAAGGGTGGGGAGGACTACTTTAAATACGTAAACTATACTTTGTTTTACACACTGTAGTAAAATGAAGTAAAAGATGATCCATGTACTTGAAAAAATTCATGCAATCCTCACTTTCACACAAGGTACATTTAATAATCTCTCATAAGCAGAATTTGGTCTTTTGATACATCACTCAAGAAATATGATTTTGAGGGATTTTATGGTGGTACTCCCAAACAGGGGAAAAGGCAGACTTCAAGAAGCAGACAGGAGTCTTTGCTAACTAGCAATCAAGGGAGAACTGAGCACAGAGCCAGGAGAAGCACTATCTAGACCCTACTCCCCACAGACCTGGCCAGCCCATCCTCTCCTTTTTCTGACAAGCTTAAGATGCCACATGGAAACTCTTACGATCAGAAGCTGAGGACTAAATTATAGTTTCCTCGTGTATATGCAGCCACACTCTGTACCTGAGTGTCTCTTACCCACCCACCTGAAGCTCCTTTCTTTCATCTGGATGCCACATTTTCTCCATTCTTACCTTTCTTATCCACACTAACTCAACCCCCCATTTCCCAGCAGCAGGTCATTCTGTGTTTTGGCAGCAGAGGAGTCAGGTCAGCCAGCTAAGGCCTCCAGACTTGTGTGGTGTGACAGCAAAAACAAATGGAAACCTTTTCCCCACACTGGCATGTTCGAGCATAAAGTCTTAAAGTTTGAGGCAATCTGACTTCCACACAACTCCTTCAACAGAAGTCAGGGATCAGCAACACGCTTTTGGGAAGGGGACAACTACCACAGTCGACTACCCCTTGGAATGAGTTGCTGACCACTCACTATCACTGCAACATCTCTCCCTAGAAACTCATGCCACATGGAGGCCTGAGATGGTTCTTCCTGATTCTGTGAATTGACTAGGCCAGAGGGAAACAAGGTCTGCTAGACCATAATGGTTTTTGTTCTTCAGGAAAGGACCCCCTAATCCATACTACCCAATAAAATATAAAACTACCATTCAACATTCAGACATTCCACTATGCTAAAACTTACAAAATGCTTTCACTATGCTTCCTATTTGGTATCTTTTAAAAGGTATTAGAACATTAAACCACAAAATCAGGAAAAACTGTACTCAATTTAGTCTACTTTTAAATTATTTTCCAAGAGATTTGCTATAATTAAACAATATTAAAGCATATTTCTCTCATCATAAGCAATCGATGTGGCAAAAGAGAATCATTCAACTATCTACCTTCCAGATCTATTATCTAGAGAAAAAAAAAATCTGTATCAAGATGGATCCACTGCCTTATATAATGAAACCAAGATGTATCTGTTGAACTTCAGCATTTCTAACTTCACTAACAGGGAGTAGTAGAAAATACACATCATTCAACAACTATTTTAATAGAATCCTACTCACTGTCCTGTGTTACAGAAAAGAGTAAAATATTTATGGTCAAGTAAATCAAACTATCACACTTTTACACACATTTTCCTATATATGCTCAATTAATAATACATAAACACATACAAACACACTATGGATATATATCTTTATGAATCTGCCATACTGTTTAACTGACTTTAAATACTAAAAAGTTTGGGACGCCTGGGTGGCTCAGTTGGTTAAGTGACTGCCTTTGGCTCAGGTCATGATCCTGGAGTCCCGGAATCGAGTCCTGCATCGGGCTCCCTGCTCAGCAGGGAGTTTGCTTCTCCCTCTGACCCTCCCCCGCTCATGCTCTCTCTCTCTCTATCTCATTCTCTCACTGAAATAAATAAATAAAATCTTAAAAATAAATAAATACTAAAAAGTTCATATTGCCTACAATTAAAACAATGTAAAAGAAATAATCTTGAAAAAGAAAGAAAAATCCATTAATTTCATGGTCCACATCCCAGAAAAATGATTAAATACAACAGAAAGATAGAACTAAAGACAATAAATTGATACTAAAACTAAACAGGGATAATAATTGAGGTACCTTTTAGCACTAGTCGACAATTTAGCAGCTGTTTTGCTGGATATTTTTCCCTCCTTTTTCTTGGGCTGAACTTGCTCTCTTTCTGGTTCTTGCTGAACACTTTCACGTTGGTCTCCATCAGAACTTCCTCCACTAGTGCTTGGACTGTCATCAACTCTTTGTGCCTCAGTGGACATTTTAGATCCTGGATTAAAAATCAAAGATCATTTATTTAGTTATGGGAAGACTACCTTTAGAATAGAGAGAAAGTGAGCCTCAAAGTAGAAGAAGTAAAACTAATACACAATGAATACAGTGGTCACTTACAAATCAGCTTTGCGAGTTGCCAAAACTTTTCTCTCAAAATGCCCTGAGAAAGAAAATGAAAACACACAGAATATATATACAAAATGTTCATAGTAACATTATTCATAAAGCCAAAAAGAGGAAACAACTCAAATGTCCACTAACTGATAAATGGATAAACCAAATGTGATACAGCCATACAATGGAATATTATTCAGCCATATAAAGGAATGAGGCACAATACGTACACACTACAACATGAATGAACTGTGAAAACATTATGCTAAGTGAAAGAAGCCAGTCACAAAAGACAACAAACTGTATGATTCCATTTACACGAACTGTCCAGAATAGGCAAATCCACAGAGACAGAGAAGTTGATAAGTGGTTGCCAGGAACTAGGAATGAGGGAAAAATGGGGAAGGACTGCTAATAGGTATGAAGTATCCTTTTGGGGTGATGCAAATGTTCTTAAATTAGGTAATGGTGATGTACAACTCTAAAAATTCTGAAAACTACTAAATTAAAATCCTCCAAACTAGTCAATTGTTATCTTCTGATAACAGAAGAACACAAAAGAACGCAGAGGCCCACATGATTCTAAATAAAAACTGAACCACATGATGGTGTCAGCATTGATCGAGCAATATACCAAGCAACTGTGTTTCACAAGAAATGGAGACTGTCTTGAGAGGCTGAAGGGCTCTTTTTAATTTTTTTTCCAGTCTTGGATAAAATATCCCTGAAGGCTTTCAAAATTCCCTTTGCTCTGAGTTCATGCTCCCCAAGCAGCTCTGATTATCAACTCAACTTCCTCAATACCTTTAGCAGATACAAAAAAATTCTAGTAAGTGAAAAGGGACATCCCTTCTCAACTATCATCCCATCATAATCAATTTCTGAGTTTGATTTCTATGAATACACCCCTTATGACCAAACTAGCTTAGAGTGTACTGACAAATTCAAAACAAAACTGACAAATCAATGCCCAGACTCTAACGAGCCTTGTGCTCACCATGTTACCGTCACCTAATAACCACTTTGTAAAAGAAAGATACCTCAAATAAAGCACTGTTTATTACTATAATTAGTAATAAATAGCTACTTGACGATGATGAAAATTCATCATCACCGAAGATTTAACTTACAGCTTGCTCTAAATCTAAGTGATTTCATAATACAAATCTTTAATGGATTTAAATTTTTATCATAAGACAAACCAAAATGCAACGTAACAGAATGAAAGAATCAGGAAGCACAGAGAGGTGAAGAGTCAACAGAAAATACTGTATGCCTTCCATGAGACATCACACAAACACACCACCACCCCTCTCAACTCCATCGGCTCCCATCCCCCATGCCAAACAAAACAGATCTGCACAAGCCACTCTGAAAGACATTGACAGAGAAATCTGACTGCTCTTCTACCTATTCTGTAAATGGAGAGCATCAGTCTCCACAGCTGTGACACCTTTTATGAGCACTAAAGTCACTTAATAGAATACTGAAATTTTATATCAGTATGTTTCACGTCTAGCTCTAACAGTCTTAACATATTTCTTGCTTTTTTTTCATTTTTATTTCACTTTAATTCTTACCCTTGGATTTAACATTGATTTTTTTTCCAGCTTACTTCTTTCAGTTAAAATATATCAGAAGTTTAAAATCTAGTAAGTATGTATATATAAGAGCATGTTAGAGCAGATGTGCATGGAAGTAAGAAAGAGAACAATTCTCACGGAAAGGTCCTTGGATATAGCAAAATGCTGTTGGCAATATTTTAAGAAATGTGAAATGAGTGAGAATTCATTTTAAACATCCTAAACCAGAAGCAATCCATTACATGACAAATATATGGAAACCTAAATGAAATGAAATTCTTTTTTACTGAACATGGAGCCTCGGCTTAATAAACTATGCCTACAGTTTCAGTTATATATTATATTAGTTATATATATCAAAATATATATATATTTATACAGTTATAGGTATATATATACACACACATTCTTTTTAATGTTCTTATTTATGTACATTTGCATACTAATAATGCAATGAGCATATAATTACTTTAAAGATTACTCAATGATTCAATCTGAGCCATAATCTGAAGTAATCTGAAGCCCAAATTTCAAAAATTGCTTCAGAATATCAGAAAACTAAAACTAGTCTCTCTAGAGAACTATTAAAAAATACTACAATGTGGAACCTGGCTGACTCAGTTGGTAGAGCATGCCAACTCTTGATCTCGGGGTTGTGAGTTCAAGCCTAATGTTGGGTGTAGAGATTACTAACTAAATTAATTAATTAATTTTAAAAAACGATTAAAAATATCCAAATAGGGAGTGAGTGCTAATAGGGATGGTGTTTCTTTTTAAGGTGCTGAAAATGTTCTAAAATCAGATAGTTGTGATGGTTGCACAACCTTGTGAATATATACTAAGACCACTTAGTATACTATATATTTTGAAAGGGTGAGTTTTGCATTATGTGGATTATAGCTCCACAAAGCGGTTATTAACAAATGGGTTTGGGTCTCAGTGTGTTTGGCTGATGGAGTTTAGAAAACTGACAGATCAATAAATGAATGGAGAAGTACTGAGTATGTGGATACTAAAAGAAGGCCAATAGAGGGTAAGTATTAAAAGAAATTCTTAACTGAAGAAAAATTCTTGAAGTGTAACATACATACAGAACAGTACACAGTGAGTGTTGGCCAATGAGTTGTCATGTACTGAACACACTTGTGTTACCAGTATCCAGGTCAAAAAACAGCATATCCGCCTCTCCTGTCACTACCCTAACCTCTAATACCACGTCTTGCCCATCTTTGAACTTCACATAAATAAATTATATGATGATATACTCTTAAGTTTTGTTCCTTTCCATAAAAAGAGAAACCCAGAGGTATAATTTCTATAATTTCACCATAGAGAAAAAAATTTTATTTCCACTTTTGACCTCAGATACTTTATTTCATCCAAATCTTAACCTATAGATGATAAATTCATCTGACACCACTAATAACCACTACAGAAACTGTTAGAAACAAAGTTTTCATATCTTTTTCAAATATCAAGAAAAAGGCAAATTTACCCTGATTTTGGTTTTTAAATGCCTAATTTTAGAAAAAAGTATTGGAAAAAAATTATTGCACCACTCAGGTGGTAACTAATTTTTATGAAGAAAAAGCAGTCCACAAGCATTTTAATTAAGTATAAATACAAAATTGGTGTTTTCTCTTTCCAAAGTATAAATGAATAAAAAGTCATGAATTAAAACTCTTTAAAGTTATCTTCTAAATCAGCATTTTAAAATTATCTTTAATATCAATTCCTAATTAGCTAATTTGATCAAATCATCTAATCTAGAAGGAAGATAAACTTAAATTCCAAGGTTATAAACATAGAGCTCATCTTCAATGCTCACTTTAAAGCTAATAAGACATTTAGGGCGCCTGGGTGGCTCAGTTGGTTAAGTAACTGCCTTCGGCTCAGGTCATGATCCTGGAGTACCAGGATCGAGTCCCACATCAGGCTCCCTGCTCAGCAGGGAGTCTCCTCCCTCTGACCCTCCCCCTCTCATGCTCTCTGTCTCCCATTCTCTCTCTCAGATAAATAGGTAAAATCTTTAAAAAAAAACCTAATAAGATATTTAAATCTATATTTTTAAATATAGACTCAAAGTAAAACTTGGCTTCTAAACATAAAATAGAAAGACAGACTTTCCTCAAACATGTGTTAAATTTAGAGTTTAGATATTGTTCCTTCTTCAACACACAAATTAAGCCTGTACTACCTATGTACTCTGTGTGGTAATTACAGTCCTAGAAATCAGCAATATAGTAAATGAAATTCACATGTTCCATAAAAATGAAATGACTCGGTTATAAACTGATAACGTAAAAGCAACTATAGTCACTTCATAAATTCGATTACTGCTCAGATAAGACTTATAACTGTTTCTCATGTTATAAAACTGCAAAAGCAATGTTCACTTGAGCTTTTGCAACAGGAAAATGCTTAATTCTGTCATTTAATATCTTGTTATTTGTCTTCCTACTCACATTTCTAAACTTTTCTAAAATGTAAAATAAAACACAATTTTTGAGAAAAAGGTGCTATGTTCCGGGGGAGATAAAATGGGGTATGACATTATATGAAAACACTCCATCATCAGCATCAACCCACATACAAAACGCTAAAGAGCCAGAGCATCCAAATCGCTGAGACAATTATTTAAATTCCAAGGTCCAGACTGAATTATTATCACATATTCAGAAACACACTTTTTAAAGAACAGGCGATAAAAAAAAACTAAGAAGAGCTTAAAATCTTTCCAAAGCGCTAGATAATCTGAAGGTAAACCCTAGGTCTTCCTTTTGTACTTTTAAATAAAAATATTTGAGTTGACTCTCAAGAATACACAACACAAAACGACGAATCTTGAAAACATGCAAATAGGTCTAACAGCCACCGAGCACAGGATGATGTCTTTCTAAAGCGGCCTTAATTTCCTTAAGGGAAGATGGATTGGACATTTCTGGTTGGTCGTGGGAAAAAAAAAAAAAAAAAGCCACAAGAAGCTATGCTTCATCTTCATTAGAAATGGTAAAGGGCAAAAGGATCAAAACATTATGAGAGAAGAGAGGGGGAGAAGTGGAAGGAGGAGGGCAGAGGGAATCCAGTTTCAAACCAGGCCAGTGGGGGCTGCAGAGAAGAGAAAAATGGGCTTCGGCTCCAAACTGTGACAAGCGCTAGGCTTCACAAAAGACCAATACAACACACACTTCACACCAGGGTATACACAAACACAACCCACAAGGTCTTCCCCAGGAGGGCCACGGGGGTGCGGCGGCGGGGGAGCCAGACCCGGCACTCACCAGGAGAGACACCATGTGCAGCAATTATGCAATTAGGGAAAATAGCAAAAGATCAAGCCGGGCACTTTCCACCGTGACATTTATCCAGTACTTTTGCAAAGACTTAGTTCCAGGATGCGGCTGGGAGAGGAAAGGGGCTGGGAGGGTGGCGAAGGATGGGGAACTGAGAACGGAAGGGGGTAGAAGATGGGCAGGCAGGGACGAGGCGGGGGGAGATAGGAAGGGGGGAGGGGTGGAAAGGGCGAGAAACCGGGGCAAGGAGGCTCGCGGGAGGGGGCGCAGGGAATGGGGCACGCCGGGGAACAGGGGAGAGAACTAGGGCGCAAGCGGTGTAAGCAGAGACCTGCGACGTGGAGGCGAGGTTGGGGGGGACGCCCGCCAGAGGGAGGACGCCGGAGACAGGGAGGAATGGTGGGGGGGGGGGCACCGGCGAGGCCCGGGCGAATACCTGAGGGAGGGGCGTCCGCGCAGGTCCCGGGCTCCAGCCCAAGCGCGGGGAGAGAGGGCTGCGGAGACGACGGGGGGGGGGCCTGGGAGGCCCCGAGGACGGGGTGTCCCCGCAGACCGTCTAGTCACCGAAAGCCGGACCCGCGCACCACGCACCCGGCCGCCCGGCCACGCCTGTCCCCGCCGGGCTCGCGCCCGCCCGGACTCACCCTCAGCGCCGCCACC